AGAGAGAGAGAGAGAGAGAGAGAGAGAGAGAGAGAGATTGACATTCAGGCTACTATTATTTTTCTTTATGTGCAATGTGTGGTTTTGGCCCCATGATGAACCAAATACATCTGCCTGCTGATCAATAAGGGTAGGTTGTTGACTCATGTTATTCTTTGCAGTTGCTTTACCCGGAGGGAAATTTACGTAAAGGAAAGCACAGCCAACTCCAAGGTCAAACATCTAATGAGAATAGCCTGTGTCTCTTTCCTTTTGCCCACCACAATCACCACCACCACCACCATCACCTTTTTAATTTCTTCCTTTCCCTTCAGCTCAGATAGATCTCAAACCATAAATGGGGCAAGTGTGATCTAGCCCAGAAGCCTGCTTAATTGCAAAGTGGAGGCTAACTTTTCCACTTCCTACCTTCAGCGCTTTTTTCTCAGGGCCCGCTGAAGACTTCTCAAGCTCTGCTTCCTCCCCCGCCCTCCCCCAGCAAGACCTTTGGAGACTGAATACTTTGTAAATGGCCAGTGCCAGAAAGATAGGATGCTATCAATTGCTTATTGTTGTATTAATAAAAGTATTGTTATTGCTTCTCACAGATTATTGTTGTACACTGCTGCTTAGAGGTAGGGATACCAGACATCTCGCAAAAGGAGGACATGCCCTCCATCTGGCAAGCATAGCCTCAAAATCACATATTATCCAGCTGCTTGAGTATCTAACATGCTTTCTCTTCCTGAGCACCCTTTCTGGCTTCCCTAATAAGGGCCAAGTTAACAAGCTCAGCTCTGTGACTTTAATTAGTTGATTAGTACCCTCCTGCTGGCTTGGGCTGCTGCCTGAAATTGACAAGACTTTAATCAGCTTTTGCCTCTTAACTGGCTCTAGTATGTTCCTGTGATTGAAAAACCAGTCTTTCTGATGCTGGAAAAAGTAATTTCATATATATATAGGCCTAGGTACAATAACCATTGAAGTTTTTTTACCCTTTGTTAATATTGTTTTTATTGTTTCAACATGTATTGTTGGCTGCCCAGAGTTGCATTTGTGAGATGGGCAGTCATATCAATCAATTAAAGAATAAATAAGTGTATAATGCATCATAAAGGCTAAGAAGCAAATGAACAACATAAAAAGTTATCTTATGATGACTGGAAGGACTGCTGAAGCTGCTGCTGGCTGCTGCTGATCACCATCTCCACCACCGGAAAAGGCAGAGGTGAGGCCTTACATCACTGGGCTAATTGCATAGCAGTGCAATCTCCCCATTCTTTAGAACTGCCTTGAAGCAGAGGTTAACCCCTCGATTGGTACAAGTAATTCCCTCCAGCATCAAGCCCCCCCCAAAAAACAGAATAGGGACCATCACCTAATCTGCCACCCCAATGGAGGAGCAATGAAACATGCACTGTGTTGTGGAACTTTGCCCTTTCTGTACATGGTTGTGACACTGCACACATGTATATAAGCTTCCATCATTACATATTAATGCATGGACCACCATTCTAAAGCAACACCTGTAGTTTCAACTGGAAGTCTGTGGGAGAGATGGTGTCTGCAATACCGCAGGGGAAGCACATCTGCAGATGACACCCTTGCAGTTACGTGGATCTTCCATGAAAAGAAGCAGGTGTTTTTTTGGTACCAGTTCCCAGCACTGCAAAGTCCTACTTCCCCACCTTTTCTCTTCCCACTGCTTCTACTACCCATGAGTGGCAGGAAAAGGAGAGAAGTCCCTTTGCTGCTGCTTCTCTAATCCTACGATGCTTGAGGAGCTGACAGCAGAAGACCCACTTCCTTGAACTGACATTTCAAAGACACTTCCTTTCCTGGCTTCTCCTACCACCCATGAGTCAGAGGAATGGGAGACAGGCTTTCAGGCACTGACAGAAGGACAGCACTAATGGTCCTGAAAATCAGAGGCCAGGAACCAGTAGGGAGGGTGGGGAGGGTGGAGGCTTGTCCACAGTAGGCTCAGGTGGCCAATTGGAGGAGGGTGAGCTCCTACCCCAAACATACCTTGAAACAATTCACTACAGACTGCTCTGTCCAATGAGGCAAACTGGAAAAACCCTTTTGCAATGGAGCAAAAAGTTACAGGCTGAGACTGCCTGGGTAGGGGGCCAGGATTAGGCTGAGGTTGAGGCTATGCATTCAGGTCTTCTGTTGTGTGTGGTGATCCAGGATGAGATTTATGGAAAGTTGTGTCACCATCTTAGAAATGAAGGGCCTGAGATGGCAAAACTTTCAGTTTCCTTCAGATAAACTCATTTTTATAGAGTTCACAGTGTAAGCGCAACAGAGGTCACCTTTCCATAAATCTGATCCTGGATCACCACACACAACAGAAGACCTGAATGCATAGCCTCAACCTCAGCCTAATCCTG